GGGGGTGATTGTTCAGCAGGCACCAGCACGGCACTCACACGTCTTGCCTTGTCCGCTGGCTGTCTCATGATGATGATCCATCAGATGTGGAGGCAAACATCGCCAACTTCGTCGCGAGAAGACCCGACCTCTTCGGCACCGTCGAGGACCAGATCGAGTATGCGGGCGACCCCCTGGGCATCGAAGTACCCCCCGCCCCCGCCCCCGCACAAGTGCCGCCACCCCCGCCACCACCCAAGCTGCCGGCACTGCCTCTGACGCCTGCTGGTGGAGTTGGTGTGCCGGGACCACCACTGCCGCCCTCTGCAGCAGTTGCTGCACCCACTGGTATGAATGACACACACGTGCTGGGGTTGGGTGCCTGGATGGATGGATGTGTATGTGGTGTGTGGTGTGTGTGTGTCAGTTGAGAAAGCGCCCTCGCCGACGAACGCTGCTGTGCCGATGGTGGCGCCCCCGCAGCCACATATGCAGCCGCAGCTGCAGCCGCAGATGCCCATTCCCGCATCGCCACCACCGGCGGCAGCAGCAGCAGCAGCGCCTGTTCCTGCCCCTCCTGCGGCCGAGGCCATGAAGCCCACCGAAGGTGCACACACACCCGATTGGAAGGAGAGGAGAGCCATCCGTTGATTGCTGCGTGTGCTGTGTGCTGTGTGCAGGTGAGGTAGTGTCAGCGCCGCCAGTGATGAAGGAGCCCAAGCCCGCCGGAGAGGCTCCCAAGGTAACTACTGCGGCTGCTGCCGCTGGGGTTGCCGTGGTGCAGCCACCCGTTGGCCCTTCGCCACACATCATCTCCACGGGCGCACCGCCGCCACAGCTGTAAGTGCAGTCAATGGACACACATTCACATATTCTTTCTCTAGAGTAGAAAGACCTCTCCGTGTGTGACGTTGGCTGCAGAGGTCCACCGGGTGCGCCGCGTCCGCCGTTTGCGCCGATGGGAATGCCGCCGTTCGCCCCGATGCCCATGGCGGGTGGCTATCGTCTGCCGATGATGATGCCCGGACAGATGCCCATGATGGGCATGGTGAGCGGCCGGCCAGGCAACAAACACGCATTGAAAGACTCAGGCAAGCTGTGTTGTGTTGTCTTGTGTTTTGTGTGGTCAGATGCCGCCCGGCATGTCGATGCCAGCACAGGCACAGCCTGGACAGGAGGCCGCCGGTGAGGTGGAGGAGCCAGCGGCCAAGAGGGCACGCACCGATGACGCCGGTGAGTAAGTGTTTGTTGTCGTGTGGTGGCCAGCTGTGACAGACATACAGATGTGTGTGTGTGTGTGTGTGTGTGGTGGGTGCAGCTGTGCCTGAGGAGCAGTTTATCAGCATCCACAAGGGTGCCATCGCCTACACTGTCGAGTGCATCGCTAACCGTAAGCACACAAGCGAGACGTCTCCCTCACCACGTGTGTATGTGTGTGTGCGTGTGTGTGTGTGTCATTCCTCTCCCCCTCCCTCACTCCCTCCCTCGCTCCCCCCATCAGCGACCCACAATCTGCAAGCGGGCACTCTGCAGGTGGAGGCCATGGTCAAGGACACTGTGGTAAGCACACATACGCGTCGCTCGCCCGCCACGCACTGATTGATGTTGTGTGTCTGTGGATCCAGGAGTCGCTGAAGGAGAAGGTTGGCCAGATGGTGTCGCTGCCGTCCTCCCGGCTCAAGCTCAAGGTGGTCTCGCCGGGGCCGTCACAGGGGGTCACCCTGAAGGTCAGCCGCACCTTCCACCAAAGAGCCACCAGCCAGCCCATATGTGGTGTGGTGTGTGGTTTGTGCAGGATGCGCCGACGCTTGGGTATTACAACCTGGGGCCCGAGACGAGGCTGGAGCTGTCCATCAAGGAGAGAGGTACGTGGGTCGACCGGAGGCAGGCAGGCAGGCAGGCCGGCCGCCACCCAAATGGTGTCGTCATCCTGTGTGCAGGTGGCAAGAAGTGACTGACGACGGAAGGCAATGCACGGCTGGCTGGGTGTGTGGTGTGGTGTGTGCGCGTGACTTTTTGCACAAAATTGGCAAGACGAGAAGAAAGAGACGCTGGGTGGGGTGTGCTGTGTGCTGCCTGCGGTCGGCTTGGGTCACCCACCCGGGATGCATGGGTTGGTTGGTCATTGACTGAATACTCACTCGTATGCACTGATTGAATGGACCAGTCCTCACAAAATAGCTACCCCGGCCTTCAAACCTCAAGTCTTACCACACAGGAATCAGCGTATGCTTGACCAAGCACGAAACCCCATGAGACAAGCAGCCACCAACAAACCTACCTCACAGCCTATGTGCGGCTTCCATCCGCTTTGTTCTAGATGACAGAGGAAAAATAGGGACAGGGAATAGCTTGCCAATCCCCGGGCACCGCACGACGTAGGGACAGGAGGTAGTATGGCAGCCATGTGAAAACGCTACAACACACACACACACACACAGAGAGAGAGAGAGAGAGTAGGGGGAATACGTAATTGTTTGTTTGTCGGTCATTCATGCGAAAGAAAGGTATGGCTAACCAGCAGAAAGCAGCCAAGAAAGAGGTCAGTATCCTGCAGCGAACGACTCCTCTTTCACGCCCGGACAGGATTGGTATGTTGTTCCACCTCATCATCAAACACGCCACACACAGCTCGAACACCTGCATGTCGCATTCATCAGACATACATAAAAGAAAGTCTTGCGTATACTGCGTGTGGTATTGGTATAGTCATGTTGTGTGTGGTCGGTTGTACAAGTTCAATGAGCACCAGCACCACGAGCCCTGCCGATTCTCCTATCAGTACCTCCCATGATACTCCTTTCAAGGCTTGGGCAACCAGTACGCTCAAGTTTGTGAATAGCGGAGCGACCAACTCGGCGCCCGACCACATGATGATTTGATCCCCCAGGCCGCGAAGAGACCTATAGAAACACGTCACATTTTTATATTCCCGTAGCGCCGGTACACCATCACCGCAATTACCGTGGAGACACCTGAAGAGAGGCCAAGGCCGACTGAAGCCCTCCTGCAGGTTCGGGACATAGCCGTTTACTGGTAAGAGACAGTTCTGCAGTCGAGATGGCTGCCGTTATGATTGAGCTTTGGCCTCTCAGCATCTGGCTCTTCCTTCTCTTCTGGTGCTGACTCTCTGTGGCATCGCTGTCCGTCTGTCCGAGTGATCGATCAGCTGTCCCCTCTCTCGCTGTAGGCACCCTGATGTCCGTCAAGTTCTCAGTGAACGTCCTTTTCTTCTTGTAGCGAGCCATGAGAAACCTCTTTTGGCGGACAGGTATAGCAGGATAACTGATAATATACATACACACAGAAGGAGACAAGCATGAGATTGAGGGAGACGCAAATGCTGATCCACGCAGATACAATAAGGCGGCGAGACGTCCGTGACTAGATCAAATCTGAAAAACGGCAGGCACGAACGATGTGGACAAGCAGCTAGAGCTTCGTGCCGCTTTTACATGGCAATTGCAACTGAGAAGACGAGCTTCTTGTTAAGTCCGACGACCTCCGCTTGCAGCATGCGTGGGTAGAGTATGTAGACCGTCGCTGGTACTCCAATAAGCAGCGAATTACACGTGGGATCTCCCTCCTGAATACACATTGGATCATAACGAAGAACTCGAGTGTTTGTCATTGGCTGTGGACTTTACTTTGATTGAGCGCACAAGCTTATTGACTAATGAAAAACAAATGTGCAATCAAAAGTGCCACACACTGTAGCATCAAGTAGCTCTGACGCATGAGTACCTAGGAGAACAGCAGGGAAGAAGGTGGCCAGGTATATGAGGGCCATCTGAAATCGCCGAAGGTCACGAATATTCAAATCATCAGCGTAAAATCGAGGCGAAAGGACGTTGACCCACACGATTTTCATAGCTAGTGTCATCGCAAAAACCACCGTGGCTTTCACCGCATATCCACGTGACCCAGCAGCGCGACGGAAGTAAACATATGTGCTCACTAGATATGAGCTCCACAAGATGGGTCCGACGACATTTTTTCTCCATTGACCATCGAAATGGAGCTGGTGGCTGATAGAAATAACGAGAGAGAGCGCAACCGCCGGTATAAAGACGACCCAGTGGCACTCTTTCTTCCGCCGAGACATAATGCTAGGAAATCGGCATCCGCCCGTCACCAGAGCGTGCGTCAATATCCACGATCCAACGATTGCGACTCGACGGATGACGTCAAATAGTGGGCCTAACATGAGAATCACCACAAGAATGAGGTCTATCCATGGCAAATACACAAAGATTAGGCCCACCAAAGAGGCTTGAGCGACACGAGTATGCATAAATTAGACCAAAGACGATGAGGAGGATGGCAATAAAAAGAGCTCCTGCTAGGTGCTCAAGAAGGCCCATATAAACTCTTTTGACTGTTGTCCATAGAGGCTCGAGCTGAAAGCTCACGCCGACAAGCACCTCTTTTTTTGTGCCATCCGACCGATGGATCGTCTTGTAATCGAGTGTTGTGGGCCACTCTTCGTAGGCGGCTTCACAGCCCGCCGCCTCCCTGAAGAACACGCCAAAGTGAGGGGCGTCCATTTGCACAGATGGGGATGACTTTAGTGGCACCTGAACTCATGGACCAACGCAGCCAACGCCTGCTCCTCAGGACGCATGCCTGAACCCTTTGCTTCGGCATCTTCCTCCGTGCGTCGCTTGCTGCCGGCTGTGACGCTTGTCTTACTTGCTGTCCCACTTTGTGACGTGGTCGAGGTGACCGACACTCGTCTATACTCGTCAGCTGTGGTCGTGAGGACGTTGTTACCTGCTCCGGCTGCTGTTGTGTTTCTCTCCTCGGTTTACAGGCTGACTGAAGGCGAGAGAGTAAGCGACACTGTCGAGACGGCGGTTGGCTGGTTGGCATCTCCAGGTGATTGCGGCGGTCTCACAGGCTGAGCCCCTCTGGTGTTGCCTCCTTCTTCTGTGTCGGTATCGTCCTGATGCCATTGGTTGTTCTGGGGGACTGTCACTATGGGCCAGTCGGCAGCCATCTCGCCTTCGTCGATTCGGTCAGTCGTGTGCGGATTGGGTAAGATGCTGACCACATCGAGATCTGCCTCGCGGTCACCATGACATTGAAATTGCTTCCCCCCGGGTGAGAAAGGACAAATGAAACCCTCGGACATGACGGGATCACGGGATCTCCTCCCTCCCCCCAGCACGAGACTGGGGGCTGGCCCGCAGCCGTCTCGAAATGGCGTCGTTGTGTCATGGGAATGGCCACACAGATGGTACAGCAAAACAGAAGGGCGACATAATGATTGCAAAGTGTATCTCCGGTGTCCGTATGCCATTGCAGGTGTGGAGAGCAGTCCGTCCTCTCTGCCGTCTCCGCAGCAGTACGCTGCATTGCAAGACCTTCAGGAGGAGATCAAGCGCGTCTTTGGCGTCGGCAGCCCGCAGATGGCCGTCTTCGCCAAAGCAGTGGCGGTCATGCCGGCGGGGAAGGTCACACGCGAAGGACCTGGTCTCGTTCGCCAAGCGGTTGTCAGACGGCGGACACAGAAGGGAGGAGCAACGAAGACGACCATGGTGCCCCCTGTCACCCAGCGGACCAGTGACAGCACGGCGCTGCCTCTGTCAACGTGGCGCGCCGACTCGCTTGGTACTCCAGACGTCTCTATCTTCCCTCAAACATGTGTGTCTCCTTCCATTCATGTGTGGAGCGTCCGACACACTGAGAGAGCAGAAAGGGCTTCCACCTGCCAGCCTGACACGCCGACAGGCCGAGAGAGTATCGGCAAGCAGCGATGGCTCCCTCTATTACGGCTACGAAGACACAGACAGCGAGGCTAGTTTCGGCAACGTGATCAAAGAAGAGACCAAGCAAAGGACCGAAACGCCCGCAGCCCTTCACTGCGACGGCAAGCCTTCCACGGCCCTCAACTCGTGCACGAGCCTCCAGAACGAGCCGCCCTCCTTCGCCCCCTCGCCGTCTTTACCAAAGCCAGACACACATCTCCCTGACTTCACGACCATCTCCCACGAACAAGCGCTCGACGCCATTCTCAACGCGATCCGACCGATGCCACACCCGCCACTACACGAGGAGGCGGAAATAAAGGTGGTGGCTGATAAGGGGACACAATGCAGCAGGGGCGAGACGGACGAACGCCGGCTGCTGTATTTGGCGCTGAGGCGGCTGGACGAGTGTGAGAGGAGGGGCGAGGGAATCGGGAGGGCACTGAAGGCCGAGAAACGGCATAAGGAAGAGGTCAGCAATCAGGGACGATTTGTATCGCGCCTACATGGGAAGCTGCCGTGTGTCAGGCGCTCATGAAGCTTCACTGTCTGACTGACGTGCACGCCGACAAACTGAGGGAAATGAGCATCATGGAGAGGGAATTGCGCAGTACGAAAATGCCACCCCCATGGGTGCACGTGTCTCTCCCTCTGTGTCTCTGTCTGTGTATTCCCCCTGTGTCCAGGTGTGAAGAGCGCCCTGTCGGCTCATGAGGGTTTGGTCCGTGAGGAGGACAGCCGTCGCAGATCGTTGCTGACCAAATTTCTGCACCCTTCCAACCCCAGAAGACTCGACGTGGGCCGGCCACATTACACGAAATGAAGCCGCTCAGCGGGCGTTGATTCGTTTGTGTGTCTGGTTGGCTGCCTGTGTGCAGAAGAAGGGGTGCATGATAGCTCTGGAGCGTCTCGAGAGGGGATTGACATCGCAGCCACGGCTGCTGGCAGAGACCACACACATCCGCTACCACCTGCAGGTCGGTCGGTCAGCACGGGCTCGTGTCTCTCTCTCTCAGACTCGTCCATCTCTCTCTCATGTCATGTGTGATCAATGCATGCAGTCGTTCTGGTGTGCATACGAGTCCCTCATCGACCAGAATGCCACGCTCACCAGCCTGCTGCAGAGCGCTCCCCTCAAACTCTCTTCCTCCTCGCCATGCCCCACACCCCCACCGCCCCAGCCACTCAGCAGCAGCAAGAGCCGCACACTCTCCCCCGCCCCACCACCCATATCCCATACGCCCCAATTCCCCGTGTCGCCCTCACCCGAAAGGCCCCGACAAAGCCCACCACACAACAACAGCCGCAACAAGTCACCCTATGTCACAAAAGGCAACACGGCCGTGACGCAGCAGCAGCAGCAGCAGCAGCAGCATACCAAGGGCAGCAATGGGTGTATCAGCAGGTATGGTGCGAGGGAGCGGGAAAGGCCCCGCACACCAGTGAGAAGCCGCACGCCGCCGAAGGGCAGGGAGAGGGAGAGGGAGGGTCAGCGAGAGGTGAAGAGGGGTGCTGCTGCGGCTGGTGGTGGTGAGGGTGGCGTGATGAGCAGGAGTGCTTATGCAGATGTGTTGAGGAAGCTTGCCAGCCATCCTGGGCTGTGGCGGGCGAGGGGCGGCAGCTAGACAGACACACAGACACACAGACACACAGACACACAGACAGACAGGCAGATAGACAAGACAGACCGACAGCTGGACAGGGACACATATGGAGGGAGGAAGGCCGCTCATCCGTGCGTGCTGTGAAGGCTGGCCGTGTTTGCCGAAGAATGACTTAGACAGTGCTAGACACATGGAATTATACCATATCAGGTGTCGCGGGGTGTGCGCGCGCTCAAGTCGATAAATAGTAACACACACTGGCAGGCACATGCGACAAAACGACACGACATCTCGCCCTACCTACCTACCGACCAACCAACCTAGCTGTACATTCGCTGAAGGCTGCATGCCTTCCTACTGCTGCCGCCCGCCGGCACCCCTTGATCATCATCCCAGCTGTGTAATGGACTGGGTGCCACTGAGATGGCAGCACACAGGCCGTCGACACGGCAGCAATGACGGTCAAAAAGAGATATGCCAAGCAAGCAGCACAGCAATCGACTACTGGTACAGTAGGTGGTACAGTAGGTGCACCTCCACCACCGCTCACTCGTCCCTCCCTTTACACACCCCACTCTCTCTACAGAGGCGCAGCCTAGCGCCCGGCCTATCGGTGGCCCGTCAGCTTGTCGAGGATGTAGGTCTTGAGCAAGGCGGGGTGGAAGCCCACAAAGTCGGATATGCCTATCAGCAGCTCCAACGCTATCAGACCTATGATAATCTGACACACAAACAAACAGAGCACACACAACGATGTGGGCATCCATCCGGTGGGTGGGGTGTTCGTGTCTGTCGCTCGCTGTGCTTGCCTTCTCCAGGTTTGCCGAGTGGAGCCGCTGGAGGTGCTCGGAGAACGTCCCCAGAAAGTGAAACGTCCAGTCCAGCCTTAAAACACCCACACCCCACACACACACACACATACAGAAAATTCCCTCTCCACCACCTTTACCCACCGTGCGTTGAGGAGGTCGAGTCTCTGCTTGATGTCGTGGTGCCTCTGGAGCTTCTCAAAGAGGCGCGTCTGCCCCTCATAGTCCCACATAACGTCGGGCACATCCGTCAGCCCCTGCTCGATGTTGAGCTCGTATCGCAGGTTGTGCAGGTTGATCAGCGAGTCGAACACCCCCTCACCCAACGCACTCTGACATGACACACACGACATGCACATGCACATGCGGATGGATGGCTTCTCTCTCTCTCTCTCTCTCTCCCTCTCTCTCTGTCTTCCTGCGTGCGCACCACTCGCCAAGGCCTGATGAGCTTCTTCATCCGATCGGCAGACCGCTTCTCAAACTGACCACCACACCACACACACACGGACAAAGGAAAGGGACGGGCGGATGAATGCTTCAGCAAGGCTTGTTCCTCCCATCTCCACCGATTCACTCACTTACTTACCGCCAGGACTCGTTCGATCTTGTTTTCGAGGGCACTGAGGCGGGCGGCCGTCATCATGGCAAACGACATCGACAGCTGACCATCCACCGTCGCAAAGAGAAGACACATATGGCACGGTTGTCATGCTGCTGGCTGGTCTCTGTGTGTGTCTGTGTGTGTGTGTGTGTGTGACCTTGTCGCTGGGTCTAGTGCGGTCGTGTGTGCGGAGGTAGATGACATCGTTCTCTATGTGGCTGTCGCTGCAGTGCACACACACGGAGAGAGACCTATAAAACCGTGTGGTGCACAGCACAGAGTGTTCGTTTCTTGCCCACCCCACCCACCCCTCTGTGTCGGTGACATCCATTGTCTCGGTCTCCCTCGCGGCCCACAGCTCGTCCAAAGTCGCGGCAACAGGCCTGACCGTCATTAATGATGGATGGCACAGTGATGGTCTCGTCTGTGCCGCCGTTGTGTGCGTGTGTGTGAGTGTGTGTGTGTGAAGATTACATTCTCATGAATGGTGCGGCGGTGGTGGCCACACAGCGGTACTCGTTGTCCTCGGTCATGCCCCAAAACACCACACAACCGCTCTACACCCACCCCCACACAAACACATACGCGCATCCATCCATCCATCCATCCACGCTGACTGACGCATGGCGTCTGTCACCCACCTTGAAGAAGACTGCAGTGCATGCCTGTTGAGAGAAGCCAGGGCCGGTCTCAGCCATCAGGAAATGCTCCAGCTCTGCACACAACCAACAATAGCCAGCCACCCAGCCAGCCACAGAGAAAGGGGTGCGAGAGAAAGGGACGCTGCCGCACCGACAGACCTTTGTACGCCGGCACACCTCTAAAGACGAAGTCTCCCCAGAAGGCATTGTCGCTGTCCCGCCTCCTCTGCTCGCGGATGCTCGCCGCCACCCTGCGCAGATCAATGGTGCACGCCAGACTGTGTGCTCGCACATGCGGGTCGGGCTGCACACACGCACACAACACAACACAACAGACACACGAGGGATGAATGCCATCCATCCATCCATCCATCCATCCATCCATCTGTCTGTCTGTCTGTCTGTCTGTCCTGCATATGCATGTGCAACTGTGTGTGTGTGTGTCAATGCATTCAATGCCAGACGACACGTTAGCACCGGCATGAGGTTGGCGTCCACGTGCGGCTTGAGCTCCACGATAGTCGCCTCAGGCCGGGCCTTCATCACATACAGAGGGGTGCCTGGCGACGGCCGCACCGTCACGCCCACCTTGCCCTTCCTTGCTGCCGCCGATGCCGACACGACTGCCGCCGGCGTGATCTCGATTTTGCCGCCCTTGCCCTTCGCCAGTCGAAGTGCCGAGAAGCCTCTCCGAGCGAAGATCCTTGTTGGATGAAGTGAGTTGATGAGATGTGGGCCTCTCCACATGGCGCTGTGCTCATCTTAATGAATCCTTCAGGCTTTGTGGCTGGGCTCCGCAGGTGGGTCAGTCAAAGAGCCTAGTTCATGCCTGAGGGTGGACTGCAGCAGTGATTAGAATGCTTTGCGATCGCGTCAAACCGCGAAAGCGCGCAAGCCGAGGAGAGGTGACTGCGCAGATGCCGTAGTCTGAGGGATGCTGCAGGCAGCACAACATGACGCCCTCGTATCGTTGCAGCCCTGTCGGATGATTCCAAGCCTTAGGACGGTTTTGGCTTCGCTGGCCTTGACGGTTGTTGACTGAGGACGGTCGTTTGGGGGGTGCATTTCCTCATCTCATCCGCTGGCGCCTCGTTGCTGCTCGCCGCCAGCCTTGGACCTGGCATCTCCTTGGCGCTTTTGGTGGTGTTTCAGGTGGCGACGCGTGGCACTGCCTGCTCTGCAATTTGCTGGCACTCTGTTGCTGGAGGGCCTGTGGTACGCATACAATAAAGTGAGGAGGAGGCAGTCCAGGACCGCGATATGATGATTCCCATTGCGTCACCCCGCTTCTTCCCTGTGTGTGTGTGTCTGTGTGTGTGGTGTTTGCAGCAGCCTTGCTTCCACTTAATGGCTTCCGGCCGTCGCGACCGCACCGACTGGTGATAGCTGGCGATGTCTGGGTCTGACTCTGAGCCACAGCCGCAGCCCGGCGAGCCGTTCCCCATCAGCCTCTCACGCGGTGGAGCGCCAGCCTTTTCCCTCTCGGCCACCAAAGAGTTGGCCTACGGCATCCGTGACGGGTCACTCTCACCTGAAGCAGCGGCCCAGCTGCTGGCGCAGCAGAGGGCCGACCCCAACGGGCGGTACTACAACACGAGCTCTCAGCAGTGGCATTCCCTGGTGTATCTGGCCGCTGAGGAATGCGTCGGAGAGGACGGTGTCGCGATCCTGGAGTCCCTCATCGACGCGGGAGCGAATGTCAACTGCACCAGTCCAGCCCGGATACCACTTGACGCCGTGCTAGCCCGCCTGCGCCATGCAGACCCCACTCAGCTGTCGGCCCTGCTGCCCATGATCGAGACCCTCCTGAGGCACGGCGCCAGGTGCTACTTTGATGGTGCGCTGTCGTCGGTATTCACCAGTGGCGCCACCCGCGGCCCCCAGCGCATTACGGCGAAGGAGTGCCTGAAGATCGTCACTCGGCTGACCGCTGCCGCAGCAGCGGCACCCACGCTTCTAAGCCTCTACGGATACTGGACTCTCGAGCAGGCATGTGCGTGCCGCTTTGCAGAGGACGAGGACAAGCAATCGGATGAGCAGCAGCAGCAGCGACAGCAGCAGGAGGGGGATGCGGCGCATGACGGCCACGCGGACCCCCACATCGCAATCCTCGAGAAGCTGGTCGAGGGGATGGGGCGGGAGGTGGTGGAGGGGGACGGGGGTACTTGTGCGTTGAATGAAGCCACACGGGCGCGGAACAGGGCTGTGGTGTATTGGCTAGTGAGGCAGCAGGGGGTGAAGGCTGTGCGTAGCACACTCATCCTTGCTCACTGGGATGTGGATGTCATTTCATTCCTGGTGCATGAGGCAGGAGCTGATATAGATGATGGTAGGGGTGACGGCCACCCCTTGTCGCGTTGGTGGAGGGAGGCTACCACACTGCTGCCGACCATCTGATCCACCTGGGGGCATCCGTAGACAGAGCACCTGCCCCCATTGCCACGACAGCCAGAGAGAAGCGCCGTGTTTTGTCGGTGTATCAAGACTATCTCAAACGCTCTGTTCCCACACACGCCATGCGCTTCATCAACGCATCCCTCACTCCTCTGCGCACTCTGTCTGCCTTGTCGGCTTCTCATCGCGTGTTTCGTGTGGGTGTGCTGTGCAGTCACATTGCCTCTTACATAGAGCCGCCCCCTCTGCCCTTCTCAGCCCGCACGCCACTCGGGCGGCGGCTCAATGCGGCACTGTCGTTCTTCGTCTCGCGTGTCTGCAATGTGGCCAGCCCCTCTGTGCGGCGCCGTTTGTTTCGCCACACTGCCTTCGTCACGCCACACACCACACACGCCGACACATCAGACAGCCAGGGGGGGAGAGAGGGCGGGCAGGTAGACGAGGGCATCGTGTATGGCCTCCGTGACGTGATCCACCTGATTTGGTGTGAGGAGGCGCTCCACTACAGGCTGCCTGACATCGACAGGGGATTCGGCAAGGGCAAGCCATTCGAGTGCTCGTTCGATGGGCGTGTGGTGGTGGGCGGGGCGGGGGGAGGTCAGTGTGTGGTGCAGACGATAGATGGGTGGGAGGGGATGGACCAGAGGGGGCCGCCCGGTGCCGTGTGGGGCGACTACGAGTCATCAGATGATGATAGCTCGGATGGCGACGACCTAGACGAGGAGAGTGACATCGATGATGAGGTCAGGAGGGAGGGGCAGACAGTCACATGCATGTGATGATTCACTGTTGTGTGTGTGCAGGACGGTATGGATGCGGACGGCCTGGAGGACGCCGGGGACGGCGACGATCTAGACGAGGTGGAAGGAGGCACACGCGCACACACATGCCATGTCATCCATGCCCACTTATCAATGTGTGTGGTCTGCGTATGTGTGAAGGGTTCCGTGGCCGAGGATGGCATGGACGGCGACTGGGGGGAGGAGGAGCATGATGGCGATATGATCGAAGACGATGACGAGCATCAACACATGGAGGACGACCAGTGAGTTGAGGGGGGAGGGATGGATGGGGGCACTCTGCGAGTACACACGTGTCTGTCTGTCTGTCTGTCTGTCTGTTTGCTTGTCTGTCTGTGTGTCTGACAGGGCCGCCGGTGATATGGATGAGGAGCACAGCAGCAGCAATCTCAATCCGCCCGTCTAATCAGATAAACCGACAGGTACGCGAAAGGACATCATGATGCCTACTAGACAACCAACCCCGCTTGCTGCTCACAGCTGTGTCGTTTGTTTCTTTGCTCTGTCTCGATAGCGATTGAATTGAGTGGCCGGCCGCCCGACCGGCCATGGGTGCCCTCCCCTCATGCATGACGCCCACCACCGGTGCCGAGCGGCACGTATTACAAGTAGCCCCCTTTGCTGTGGCAGGAGGGAGGGAGGGAGGCTCCTGTGTAGATGATGTGAATACCGTCACTCACTGCCTGGCCTGAAATGGCATCCATCCCATCATGCATGTGTGGCAGTGCAGTGCGTGTGAGAACATCTCTGGTTGACTCGATCTGGCTGGTTGATGATATTGCATTCATTCATCTGCTGTCGTGAGGTCAGGTCACAAAGGCCCAATCGCATGATGAATTAGGTAATTTGCAAGAACTGATTCAGGGTCCAGGGTTTGCGAAACGTATGACTCTTCCCTCGGGTTTGCTGTAAAACAAAATGCGACTGCACCAAACTCGCAAAAGCTGCGATGAAGGCAGAAACCAGCCGGGGACCCTCATGAAGGTCGAAGGAGGTAGGAGGGGTTGCGCCATGAGCTCCAGCTCGAGTGGTCCTCCTCCTGGTGATGCAGCCAACGAAGGCGGCACGCCCAAGCAGCCGCCTGTCAGTGACTGTCCTGCCAGTGGTGAGCGTGGTGACCATCTCGATGTGAGCATGGAGCAGTGCGATGTGGTGAAGGAGAGGCTGCGGGAGATCAAGGATGAGCTGATTGCGAAAGAGCAAGCGATGGGCGGCACTGGCGATTTGACGGAGCCTTCGGTATGGCGACGGGCTCACACAGGAAGGCAGAACAGGGCAAGGGAACCTTTGGGTCCATCTTCACTTCATGTGTTGTGTTGTGCCAGGCGGAGTGCATGAGGGAGATATTGGAGTTCAGCCTCAGCGGAGAGTTTTTCCGGGCCCGGCGGTCCACCCTCTGCGCGGCCAAGGGGTCTGTCATGGCGCTGCTCTTTTCTGGCCGATTTGACCAGGCCTTTCTCCGGGATCAACACGGGAGGATTTTCCTCCAAATATATCCCCCAGTGTTCAAATGGTGAGAGGAGAGGGAGGAGGAACACTGCGGCTTTGGCTCTGGCTGTGTGTCTAATGGTGATCGTGCCGCCTGGATGTATATATCTTTTATCTATCTGTCAGGCTAGATGGCCAGCTGGGGCTCTACGTGGCCGAGCAGACCGACAAGGTGGCGCTGCCTCCGTCCAGAGAGAACGACGCTCCATATTGGTGAGAGCGAATGCAATGCACCACACAGAACCCAACGACAACGGCTCCTCTCTCTGTGTCGCCTTGTGTTGTGTTGTGCTGTGCTGGGTGCATCGACTCGACTCGACCTGTGTGTCAGGTATTGGGCACGGCTGTTGCTGTGGGATCCGGCCACCAACTGGTATCCCGGGCCCATCGGACCGCCTCCCCCCACACAGACACAGGGCCACCCCCACCCACCGCCACCCGCCCCCCAGCTTTCCCACCAGCAGAGAGACCCTGAGGCCCTCTCTGTGGAGCTCACCAGTATGATCAGGAGGGCCAAGGCTGACAAGGCTCTGCAGGAGGCGCGGCTCGACGCCATCAAGCCACTGCTCAAGACAGGCGACGCCAAGGACGATACGGTGAGTGAGTGAGGCGACCAGGGACGGCAAGAGTCAAGGGAGCGAGCCGATGAAACTCTGTTTCGTGTTTCCTCATCGTGTGCCTGTCCTCTCCTGTCCTGTCCTGCCGTCAGCTGATGGCGATTGAGGTGTCTGGTGCCACTGTGACGGTCACCAAGGGCGTGGCCATGTCGATGGGGGACGACTTGTCTTGGGCCAATGGATTCTTCAAGTGGGCAGTATACGATACGATCTCGTCCCAACCAACCCACAATTATTAAGGAGATGTGTGTGTCGTGTTTGTCGTGTGGTGTCGTCTCGTCAGGTACGATCCATCGAACGTGGGTGTGCCGGTGGACTATGTGCAGCGCATAGTAGATCTAGTTGCCCGAACCCGCATGGTGGGGTCGTCGGCAGCCGCCGCCTGTCTCTTCATCGCTGCCACCTCGTCCTAGCCATAAGGCCCGGCACGGCCAACCGGGGTGGGAGTAGAGTGCACAAGCTAGCTAAGCAGCCAGCCGAAATAGCGAGAGGGTGTGAGGGTGAACGGACACACATGAGATGAGATGTGTGTCTGCATGTCTGACGCAAACAACCACAGACATCCAGACAGTGTATAGCTAAGGGATCGGATCAGCTGGCTCCTAAGACAGTGGTTTCCCGGACACGCATACACCTGCCCGGCCGGCCGGACGCATTCGTTTCAGACAAACGATGCGTCCGATCCGTCCGCGGGGGTGTGTGTGGGTGGGCGTGGGAGGGAGGGAGGGAGGGGGACCATCACTGCGTGTGTGTGTGGTGTGGTATGTGGCGTCTGTCTGTCTGCCTGGCTGCCTGCCTGGTTCATTTCATCCACGGCGTGACTGACTTATGGACTGAGTGAGTGAGTGAGTGCTTTGCGTGAGTGGCTGACTCAACCGCTTTGTACAGGCAGGCAGGCAGGCAGCTTGAGCCAACCTGCCGGGCGGGCGAACAGCGTGCCTTCACTCACCGATCCATCCATCCATCCAGCCGTCCCTGCTCGGCCGTTGTACGAACACATTAGTGTGGAGCACCACAATGCAACACAATGCACCGAAAACTGTCAAGAGCATCCATTCGTCCGTCCATGCAGTCGGCCCACTTGACGAAACACGGAGACTAAACCTGTCTGTCTGTCTGTCTGTGTGTCTGTTTCGACTGTTCTGTTCATTCATTCATTTGGCGAACGGGCGATTAAATACAGCCTTCCTTTCCTTCATTTGCCGCCAAACAGCACGTCTTGCATGTCATAGAGCGCCGGGGGCTTGCCGGCCAGCCACTTGGCGGCCCGCAGCGCGCCCGCAGCAAACACATCGCGATCCTGACACACGCACGCCACACACAGAGAAGACAAGACACCAACCGATGGCTCACACACACACATCCGTCACGTGATTGTATCTGTGCTGTGTTGGCTTGCCTGGGCCTTGTGTGTGAGTTCGATTCGCTCAAAGTCCGACCCAAAGTGTATGGTGTGGTCGCCCACTATGCTGCCAAGACGGATAGCGTGCATGCCGATCTCGCGGCGGGTGCGCTTGCCCACCTTATTTAACACACACACACACACCACACACACCCTCATGGCATGGCCGCACTCTCTGCGTGTGTGAATGAGATGTGTGTGCCGCCTCCCCACCACCGCCCGTCCTAGACCACCTCACCTGTCCAGATCGGCCATGCACGAGGTCGGCCCGCGTACGCCCCGTTGCGGCGCACACGGCGTCGGCAATCCCGAAGGCAGTCCCAGAGGGGGAATCCACCTGGACGCACCCCACCCCACCACAACACACACACACGTGCAGACAGACAGACAGACAGGTGTGTGTGTGCGTTGCGTGTGCCACTGGCGTCGTGTTGTGTGTGGTGCCTTCACCCACCTTTCGGTTGTGGTGTCCTTCGACGATCTCGATGTTGAAGTCGTCCCCGAGGGCCTTGGCAATGTCGGCCGACAGACGAAACACCAAATTCACGCCCAACGAGTAGTTCATGGCGTGGATCATCTGCAGTCAGTGCAGCATAGCATGTCAGACAGACAGCAAGGAGGGAGGAGACAAGACAAGCGGGCTCCGCTCGTGGTCATTCACTCGGTCGGTCATTTGCTCTTCACACACCGGCACTTTGGCGCTGTGGCTGTGCAGCTTTTTGTCCTCCTCCTCCGTCAGGCCCGTGGTGCCAATCACCAAGGCAATGCCCTTTGACGCAGCCTCCTCGGCCAACTTCATCGACGCTGACAGACATGCAGAACACACCACACACATGTCTGTCTGTGGGCCTTTCAGGAGAGGTGTGTGGCTCAGCTCACCGGCTGGTGCCGAGAAGTCGACAATGACGTCCGGCTGAGGCGACACGTCGCTCAGGTTCGAGTGAAGCCGGATGTCATCCCCACACTGCAGCAGGGGCTCCAACTCTTTCAGCGACTTGCCTGCACACACACACACACACACAAACAACGCATCAGGCAGGCGTGCACTGGATCCATTTCCTCAGTCACCGATGGACGGGCTCTCTACCCTCTCCAGCCCGCCCACGAGCTGCATGTGCTCGTCCTCGGCGGCAAGGCAGCACAGACGCCGCCCCATGCGCCCCGCAGCACCGTTGATCAGCACCTTTATCGCCATCTTAAAGAAAGACGGTGGTCAAACAGATCAGATGCGCAGATGCGGACCTCCGATCACACCTGGTGGTTTAACGAATCTCCTGGAAAGGGACGACTGAATGGCGAGCTGAGCCGTCCGGCTAGGGAGCTGCATGAAACCGCTGCTGCGGGCGAGGGAAGATGGCAGATCTTGCCGTCTTGTTCGATTCCCTCGAGGATGCTGGAGGCTCCCAGACCCTCATCCGCCTCAATGGCTTCATAAAAGTGAGAACGGCGCGGCGGAGTAACACCTCTGTCCCTTCCTTGTGTTGATGTGTGTGTCCATGTGCAGAGACTATCGCCAGCGCGCGCCGATGACGTCAGAGATCTGTCCGCTGAGGATGCAGGCGCCCTCTGCAGGCTCTTTCACACGCACATTCGGGAGGCGGCGCATGTTGCCGACGAATCGCGGCTTGAGCAGCAGCAGCCGCCGTCAGATGAGCTGTTGACGGAGGTCCGGCAGTCACTGGTCACTCACGTGGGCGTCATCGACGGAGTGCTGCGGGTGGGAAGGAGCCTTTGTGCGGGACGCCCTGAGTCACAGGTAAGGGCATGAGCGTTCAGGAAGGCAAGAAATGAATGTGTGTGTGTGTGTTCCCTTTGTGTCGGTCGGTGTGTCTTGTCGGCAGAGGTGCCTGCGTGAGGCGGGTTTGGCTGAGATGCTGGTGGACAGCCTCGACACGCTGGTGGCCGTACTCGCATTCTGGCAACATGTCCAAGCGGGGAGGTCGGACGACAGTCTGATGCCAAAGGTGCAGCGCTCTCTGATCACCTTCTTCATCAACTTGGTCACTGCAAATGACATCAATCAGGTGAGAGAGAAACGGCGGCAGGGAGGGAGGGAGGCAGGCACACAGGCACACACTGACACACACACACACACCCTGACCAATCAAAAATGCTTCAGAGCCATCTGTGGAAGCTGGTGTACCCATGGCGATCGGTCAAGCTCGCCCTCATCGCCGGCAGTCCGTCTCACATGTTCATGCTGCTCCACAACATCAGCTGCCAGAGTGCCGAGCGGCGGGCGGCTCTGGCGGCGGAGGAGGGCACCCAGGTGCTCTACCTGATGTACTCGGCCGCCGTGCACCATGCGGCTGCCGAGGAGGGGCAGGGGCAGGGGGGCAGCGATGAGTGGGTGTCGATATTCAGCCACGCGTGGTGGCGGCAGCCTGGGGCTTTTGAGAGCTTGTTTCGATGCGTCATGAGGTAGGTAGGCTGTGATGCTGGCAGACACAAAGCACGCCCTTGCTGGCATGATGGATGGATGGACTCTGTCACTTTTGGCTTGCAGATTAGACGACGACGAGTTGCAGCTGATCGTCCTGCGGCAGCTGGACCCACCGCCACTCTCTCCCCAGCCCCACACTCCCAACAGCAGCGGCGGCACGAGCTCGTCGATGGATCGCTTCCGCAGCCACCCTGTGCGTGCCCGGTGGATCATGGAGCGGCTCAAGCACCTCATCGCCTCACAGAGGGACATGGCGGCATACCTGCTGGCGATGCTCGAAGCTTTCGTCGAGGAGGAATGGCGGGAGAGAAATGACGACGGCGGTGGCGGGACGACCCTGCTGCAGGTAGGTACCTGTGCTCATGGGGCAGGGAGAGATGCCGCAAGTGAATGTATGTGTGTGTGTTGGATGCATTGTCAGACCATGGTGGCCGACGGATCGCTTATGGCGTTTCTGTTCAGCCTCATCGCCAGAGCCCTCACAGACGTCTGCCGGCCAGCCCATCGCCGCCCTTTCCTCCCCTTCCCTCCCGACACCGACACCAGCCCTCCAGCAGCACCGGCAGCTGAGGAGGATGCCTGCAGCCTCTCCGGCTGCCTGCGCCCCCTTGCCCGCACAGCCATCCTCCTCACATCCTCACACGCGTGGCTGGCATCAGCTGACGACGGCGACCACCACCACCACCGGCACTCAGTTGCCGATGGCCTCATTCGGTCGATCGTCTCATTTCTCGACTGCCACCACTCGTTGCGGCTGCGGGCGATGGTGTCGCGGAAGGACAGGCGCAAGAGGGAGAGGGAGAGGGAGGGGGGTGGGGCTGAGGGTGACGATAGAGATGTGGTAGAGAGGGTGTGGGACGAGGTCAGTGAGGAGGTGTCCTGCCGCGACCTCATTCGTGTGGTGGCCAACCTTCTGCACGACGACCACCGGATGCAGGACACATGCAGAGAGATCGACGGTCGGTCAGCCACACGCTTCCACACACACACACAGAGGGAGAGAGACACCCACTCTGTCTCCTCGGTGCGTTGTCCCACAGGTCTTCGTGTGCTGCTGAACCACACCCTGTCTGACGAGAAGGACCCCCTCATGAAGGAGTCGTCCATATTCGCCATCCGGAACGCATGCCACACCAATGCCGTCAACAAATCGGCCGTCAGACAACTGCTGTCGGGCAGCTTCCAGGGCGTCATCGAGGCGCCCGACGAGCTCATGGCGGCACTCGAGAGGCCCGCCGCTGCTGCTGAAGATGGTGGCGGTGCGTTGCTTGAGGACATGGTTCGGGCGAGAATCGATGGGAGGGGCGTGAGTGAGTGAAGGATGTTGTTTGGTGCGCTGGGCGGTTCGGGCGAGTGTGTGACTGAGACGATCCGAGCGCTAGGGCCGTGCAGTGCATGGCCGTCAACTCAAATGAGTGCAGTGCGGCGGTGTTTCTGTCCTCATGGCATCCATAACACGAGCTGCCCTTTTGACTGACCCCTGTACACTCACTCATCATTGCTTTGAGCTTTCATAACTGGCACACTTCTTATGGATGTCTGACGCCACTCTGGCACGTTTGTACGAACGTGATGCTGCAAGTAAGTCCGTTATCCAGTCTAACAAGCGGATTGGCCGACATGCATCGTCTCAGGTAGCCAGTCCACACGCAGGGCGCGCACAATGAATGCGACAGACAGAAACAGGCAGGCTCAGTCAGTCAGGTTGGACAGCACGGGAAGGAAGGCTCACTTGCTCGCTGTACAACACACGGCGCATGCACACTCTACCTACCAGGCCGACAAGTACTCATAGGTAGAACAGGGAGGGACATACAGACAGACAGACAGACATACAGACAGACATGTATGTCATCTCCTCAAGTGCCGGACAGCGCGTCTGCCCCCCCTCGCACTCCCCCGCCCCCCTCCTGCGTGGCCTTGATCATCTCGGCCGTCCGCAGCTTGATGAAGTGATTCGTCTCGATGTACCTGACACACACACACACACGCGTATGAACAGAGCACATGAGGACAGACAGACAGACAGGCAGACAGGCAGGCAGGCAGACAAGCCATCATCCACTCGCACCTCTGTGCGCAGTTCCATATGCACGTCTGCTGTCCTGAAGATAGGAGCCGGCCTGCACACAGGTCAAGGATGAGAGGGGACAACGCAACGGAACACCACAGTACGATAACCAAGGCACTCATGGCTGTGACTGACCTGGTGTGCCGACGCATCTTTCGAAGCAGTGGCCGGTCAGCTTCGCTATCGTCTTCTGGCTCTCGACAATCTGCACACACGCACCCACACCACACGACAGACACATGCTTCCGACAGACATGGACGTGAAGATCAGCTGTCTGTCTTTGTTCAATCAACGTTTGGCGCCTACCGCCTGCACTGCCTGTAGCTGCTGAATCTGCTGCGCTTCTGTCGGCGCACTCCCACTCATCGAAATATGAAGCGATGCGAGATCAGCAAAGTTTCAGGTGCGAGCTGTGAGAAACTCTCTCCCCAGTTTTGATGGCGAAATCATCTCAACGCACCACAGAGCCACAGCCATAGCCATAGCCTTCTGTCCCTCAGCCGAACTCTCCCACCAGCAGCACCATCTGCGTGTGAGCGAAGGGCCGAGGCGAGTGGAGAGCCTGTGGAGGGTGTGTGTGCTGTGAGAGAGGGAGTGCACAGCGCAGAGGGGCTCGAGCGGCTCTGGGGATGGTTGAGGGGTTGGTTCATCGGCACTGTCGGCCTGCTGTGAGACGATATCGGTTGATTAGGGTCCTCTGGGAGGGGGCGACCACTGCATAGACAGACACGACACACCGACACACACATACTCAAGGGTGGAGTTGCCTACAGCAGCAACTATTGCAGCAGCATGGCTGTCGACAGTAACCATGACCCACACACACACACACAGAGAGAGAGAGAGAGGAAAGGGGCCCTCAGCGAGTGTGTGTGTGTGTGTGTGCTGTTGACCACCAGCCATCCAGGAGGCGATAGACTTTTTCAAGAGTGAGATCAAGGGGGACGATCTGCCGCGGCGTGTGGAGGATGTGCACAAGGTCAAGTGGATCGCCGGCACCATCGGGCCGCACAAGACCGTCAACGACATCATCCCCTTCCTACACGGTAGGTAGCTAGCTAACATAGCCAACACACCCTAAATACCCTACACCCCTCCCACATCCACACGCAGCGCAGCGCAGCCACACAGGGGTGCATGTGTGTGTGTGTGTGTGTCAACAAACAGAGAGCCAGAAGGGTTTGCCGGGTGAGGTAGACGACGAGTTTATGCATGCGCTGGCGGAGGAGTACTACACACTGGCCGACTACGTGGGCGACGAGAGCAACTTCGAGGCCCTCCTCCACCCCCTCGCACACCTAGCCACACAGGAGGAGACAGTCGTCCGGGACAAAGTAAGCTAAGCCAGGGAGGGAGGGAGGGAGGGAGGGAGGGAGAGCCCCCCCCCCCCCCCC